AATACACTAAAGTAAACCTACTCCTAGATTACAGTGGTCTTTCTGGGATCTAAAAAAAAAAAAAAAAAAAAAATCTCTAGTTCTCCTTCACCTTGGGGTTGCACCCAGTTGAGAACGATATGGAGTGTCCAGGAAGTGGAGAGTCAGAGGATGGTGAAGTCTGGGAGGAAGCAAGTATTTTAGTCAGCTTTTTTGCTACTGGGACTAAGGGACCCAGCCAGAACAACTGTGGAGGAGAAAAGGTTTATTCAGGGGCTCACTATTTCAGAGGTCTCCATCCATAGAGGGCAGCTGCACTCCTTGGGGCTGAACAGCATGGTGGGAGAATATGGCAGAGGGAAGCAGCTCACATGGAGATGAGAAAGCAGAGAGAGCGGTCTCCACTTGCCAAATACAAATATATACTCCCAAAGCCATGCTCTCCAATGAACCATTTCCTCCAGCCACACCTCACCTGCCTCCAGTTACCACTCAATGCATCCCATCGGGGATTAATTTACCAATTAGGTTAAAGCTATAACCCAATCATTTCTCTCCCAAACCTTCTTGCATTATCTCACAGATGAGCTTTTGGGGGACACCTCACATCCAAACCATAATAGCAAACAGGCTACCCCGGCGCCGGGAAGTGGCCCTGAATCTGACTTCCTCTTTCAGAAGACGAAAGGGAGACCAGCTGCTGCTCCACCCTAGCATCACCAGACACCCACTGGCCTTATTATTTACCAACAGGATCTCTATAGAAACTTCCAGTGCTCTCCTGGATTGCTTCTCACCTCAGTCTTCCCCACAGCCCATGAGTGAGGCTTCCTGCTGTGAGCAGGGAGACTGTAACAGCCATGACTACTGTTCATCCTTTCCTGGGCCTAACTTAACTTGGTCAACTGGTCAAGGAAAGCAGTGACCAAAGGAAGAATAGTCCTGGTTTCAAGGTAAGCCTTTCCCTCTAATGGGAAAATTGATCCCATGAAGCCAGACAAGACCCCCTGCTCCACCGTGCAGGACAATCTGTCTACGATATATGATGTGTACAGCTCATAAATGCTCTACAAAGTGGAGAAAATCCGGGCTGGGGCTGAGGCTTAGCGGTAGAGCATTTGCCTCGCACACGCGAGACCCTGGGTTCGATCCTCAGCACCACATAAATATAAATAAGTGAAATACAAGTATTGTGTCCAACTACATCTAAAAAACAAATATTTTTTTTAAAAAAAATGGAGAAAATCTGGGGAAGGACATTTAAAAACACAGGAAAGGGAGAAAGAAAAAGAAGGAGGAAGGGAATTAAAATAAAAATTGAGAGGATCTGAGGTGGGCCTGGAGATGGAAGAGTGGCTGAAGGTTAAAGCAAAGGAAAATAAGGAAAAGGAGTGAGAATAGAATTCAATAGAATCCAGTCTCTACTTCTCAAGCCCATGCTCTGCCAATAATTGACTCTTTTTGTTTTTTTTAAAGACACAAAGATCATAAAATGGAAGAAAAATAATCAACACAAAAGTAGAGGTGTCAACCTGAACAGATTTCAAACTGAAACAAAGAATTAATATGATTAACAGCAATTACATGGAGATGTATAAACATCTTGGGTGAAATGACACCAGGAAAAACTCTAGCACTTCATGGTGCCTTATGTGTAGTTTAGTCTTTTGATATCTATTTTACATTCTGCCAGCAAAATTTTTGTCGTATCTGATGCATTTTGCCAAGTCTTTTATTTGGGATGCTTCCTGATTTAAATATTTTTAGCTGCAGTGGTTTTTCAATCATGAGGGTATTGTTTCAAAAGCAATTATTTTATGTGCATCCAAAAGCAAAATTGAAAACCAATCCAGATTCATCTGAGATCATCCTATAAGTGAGGGGCACTGTGGAAAAAGGCAGAAGTCTGACCTTCAGGACAGTTATATGAAGGGATCTCAAATTTCCATTATAAAAACACAGTTAATGGCTGACCTTTGCTGATGCCTTCCAATGTTGCTGATTGGAGATGGCAAATTACAACTTTATATGTGTTCATCAGAAAATAAAACCCATTTACTGCTTCCACCCTGAAATCTAGCCTCTTTGCAATCAGCCAGCTTTCTGAGAGGCCTACAGTTTGATAAGAGGAACATGAACAAATGACTCTCTAGAAAGAAATATCATGTCTTTATGTCATTCTTTCCTGAGAAAGCAGTGCCACCCCTGGTTTGGGAGTCTCATGGCTCAGAACTAACACCTAGAAGGAAAAAGAATTGACATTTCAAGACCAATCTATTTGAGAGCTACCCCCACCCCGCCAAGTGGGAATCTTCCTCCAGAGCTCACCCAGCAGGGACAGAGGCAAATCCATCTGTTCACAGGAGTCTATGCTGATGGGGTTTTTTTTGGTTGTCCCCAAGCCTGACAATCCTTTGTCTCCCAAATACTACAGTGAAAGATAGTGTCAATTTCTTTATGGCAAAGCAGGTGTAAACACGACTGTCAGAAAATAGAGAAATAGTTCCTAAATCCTTGGCTCCAGGGACACCTTGGTTTTTCAAAACTGCCTACAAACATTATGTTGCTGCTTTCACAAAGTGCTTCATTCTTCATATATTTAAGCTGATCCAATAAAGGCATTGTTCAGAGTGGAAATGTGTAGTACAACCAACGCAGTCATTTTCACAGCAAAGCAATTATGGACCCAAAGAACAATGAGAAGTCTCTTTTCCAATTGTTTGTAGGAGTGTGTTCATTCCAAGCCATTACCACATGTGTCTGTCAGAGGGAATCTCTGCATCAGGCTATAATGAGCACATTAACTTTTTTTTTCTGTAACAGAGCTTTCCATGGCCTGGCTCTATGACAGCTCTGAGATGGTGGTTCAGGTAACAGCTTCAAATGCAACTCTCTAGAAAGTCCTGTCTGCAGTAATCAGGATCTGCAGTAATCAGGGTCAGTGTTAAAACCACAGGCAAGGAAGGAGAAGGTGAGTCCACTGAGGAAAGCCCCGCTCCCATCCCTAAAAGGTATAGACAGGACTGGAAAGAAGCTCAAGGAAACCATGCAGGTGGATCAAGCAAGGAAGCCTGAGCTCTAGCCCAGCACATCTCCCTCTATCATTCTTCCTTAAAGTCTACTTTAGACACTGATGCTGGTTTACTCTCAAGATATCATCCTTCTGCTCCAAAACTCCTCATGGTTCCCACTAATGCCAGAACAAAGTCCAGGTGCCTAAGCCTGGTTCTCAAGATCTGGCAAGACCCTACACCATCAAACCTAGTATTCACACTTTAGTGTCCTTGCTCTGTACCAGATACCTTCTGTCTGCACTTCCAGATCCACAGTCTCCCTTTATTCTCCACGGTCATCCTGGGATTTCTCATCTGTGATTTCATCTATTTCCCAAGGACCTAGCTTCTGGGTTGGGATTGACCCATAGGGAGAGAAGAGTGGAGCCAGGCAGGAGATCAGAGGACCCAGTGAAAAAGGCACTGTTTATTGCCTTGGCTCCTACCCTCTGTAGGCTACCTATGCCCCTTTTCAAAAGGCACTCTTTTGCTGAGGGATGCCTTCCTCTGCACTGTACTTTCTGGTTCCAATGACTGTCCTCCCCGCCCTCAATCCTAGGAGTCTAAGGATAATTTCCCCACCTCTCCCCTCACCACGACTGCTCTAGGTTGTTGCACTATTGCTTGTCAATGAATCACCCTCCTCTTAGCTATGTAGAAGAGTCCATCTGTTTCCTGCTAGGACCAAGGCTGAAACTCTTTCCCTCTTTCTACCACTTCATAGGTTAGAAATCTGAACCTCAGAGAGGTTGAATTGCTAGCTTTCTTAAGACTTATAGCTAATGAACAGCAGAACCAGGATTTGGATGCAGGCAGTCATTCCAGAAACTTCTCCTGTAGCCCCTGAGCTGTACTGCCTCGCTAATATACTAGGCTAGAATTGCATTTTCACTTCTCTGTTCCCATCAAAATCCTACCCGTCTGATGCAGTCTAGGTCAAGCTGCCCCTCCTCCTTGACATTTTCCTTGGTCCAGCCAGCTCCATTATCAGCTCAATTTCCATTAAGCAGAGTGTCTGTGCTACCCTCTTGTGTACATACGAAATGCTGCTTCATCCTATTCTTTAAGTATTTGTGTGCATATTCTTGTTCCTCCAATGAATGGAGAACCTCTAATAAGACTGAAATTGTGACCTCCACATAATGTCCATTGTCCTTAATCCATAGTAAACATAGTGGTCTGCATTAGTCAACTGTACCAATGATAGAGAATGAATTTTCATATATGAAAATAAATTTATATATTTGGTCGCTGCCACAGTAATCTCTGAGTTGTTCTTGAATTTAAATTTTTTTTAATAATAAGCAGTGGATGAGAAAAGTGATAAACTAAACAAGTAGCCGTCAGCTGGGAACAATTATAACATTTCCTTTATGAGCAAACTTCCTCAAGAATCCTAGAAAAGCCTTCTAGTGGGTTAGCTTCTGCTAGAACCAGGAGCTATCAGTCGTCACAGGAGAATTTTCTGAGGCCGGACTGCTTGGGTTCAAATCCTGGTTCTACCACTTAACAACTATAAATCTTCGGAAACTTAGCAACTTAACATCTCAGGGCTCAGTTATCATATCTATAAGATATGGATAGTAATAGTACTTACCCACCTCCATGTTATAAGGATTAAATTGATAAATATTCATAAGAACCTTGAACCAGGATTGATGGGTGCTTATAGATAGATAAACAGTGTTAATTATTATTGCTAAATAAGCATAGTCACATATTTATCATGTCCTGTCAAAACACTTCCCAGGACTTCCTAACCCCTGGAGTTTCCAGGAAGAAACTAGGTAATGCTGTCTGGTGTTTACTCTATCTTAAGGAGTCAGAGGTCTCCACAGCTCAGTCTCATTCTTGTGGCAATGTGCTAGTGAACTATTTTCATGTAAAGTTGGAAGAAGGACTGAAGAGGTTATTCCTAGTCTATTATGCCATTTTACAACTGAGGCATCAAAGACACAGAGAGACTAATTTATAAAGGAATCTTTATTTATTTGGTGCCCACAGTGTGCCCAGTTGTGTACTCAAAAGGCAAAATATGCACATCAGCTGGGCGCCACCCATCAAAGAGATCCACACAGAGCCCCGGAGCCCCGACCCCAAGTAGCTGCCATACCATGTTGGCTGGCCCTCAAAGACCAAGAAGCAGTTCTGCTTTTTTGAGAACTAGCTAAAAATAAGTGAGTTTCTAACAAAAGAGTACAACAACACTGGGGACATTGCAAATTCATTTCCTAAACCATCTGCCCCCCACTTGCTCTTCTGTTACAGCCTGCCACTCACCACTTACAGGTTGAAATGCCAGTGGATTCGAAAGAGTAGCATGAAAGAAGAGCAAATAAAGAGCCTTCATTCCTTGGTAAGCCTCTTTCTTCTTCATAGTCTTGCCTTTTTATTGCCTTTATTAAGCATGGCATGCACAGAGGACCTAAAAAAGGAAAGAAAGAAACAATTTGAGTGTCGGTTTTGCAGCAGTTCTCCCTCCCTTGAGAACCGAGCTTATACACATAGTTTATTATCTTCTCAGGCTCCCGAACACTGCTTAAAGCCATATAATATCTTTTGGTGGGTTAAATGAGTAGCAGCTCTCTCTAGTCTGTCAATCAATTCCATTTCCCCCTTGAATAAAGGAAGTTAGTATCTTACCCTCTGACAGCTGGGGAAAGTGAGTTTTTTTTCCTTGCTCTCTGCCAGGGATTCTCTGGCAGGAGGTTAGAGAAGAGCATGCGTCCTGGTAGTCCATATGTCGCGTGGTCCTGGGGGCCACTGGAATGAGGAGGAATCTCATGTGTGGACTCCTACCATGGTACAACCTAGACTACGACTGCTCGCAGAGAAATCACAGCAGCTCTAGAATTTTAGGCACAGCCAAACCTCGGTCAAGGCAAAAAGGGTGACACTTCAATGGAGTGATCAAGACAGAATCCACATGGCCCTGGGTTGAAGAGAGAGAGAACAGTGAAAGAGGGAAAATGAAAATAAAGACATAACAAGTATAATAGTTCATTTTATTCCTATAACAAAATACTTGAGGCAAGCTGACTTTATAAAGGGAAGAGGCATATTTCACTCATAGTTCTGGAGGTTTGCAGGGATGATGCCAGCATCACCTCGGTTCTGGTGAGGATTCCATGGCAAATGGCAGAAGCATGCCCAAGAGGAAGAGATCACATCACTAAACAGGAAGCACGAGAGTCTCAGATGCACAGTCCTTTCTGAGGGCACACCCCCAATGACCTAAAGATCTCCCACTAGGCCCCACCTCCTAAAGATCCTACCACCTCTTGCATTGCCACACTGGGGACTCAGGCTCCCACATATATACTTTTGAGGGGAAAACTACATCCATAGCACCACGATAAAAATACCCATCTCCTGTTCTTGGAAAAAGTCACTCTATTCCAATCTGGACCAAAAAAAAAGTGTAGTATCTTCAATTTAATTGATATGAAAAAGAGATTTATTAAGCCTCTAAGGTATTTGACTTGATTCTTGGGAGAAGAGATAAAGATGAATAAGAGTACTTATGCTCTGTCTTTGATGGACCTTGGGCATTACCTCCTTCAGGTCTTTGCTCAGATCTTACCTTCTCAATGAGGTCCACTCTGACCCCCTTTCAACTCTATAGCTGCCCTCCAGCATTCCTAATACTCCCTATTCCTACTTTATCTCTTCTTTACCATATCTCCTCGGACATTCCTAATACTCCCTATTCCTACTTTATCTCTTCTTTACCATATCTCCTTGGACATATTTTATGTTTACTTATTTTATTGTGTTTATTACTTATTTCCAGTCTACACACACACTCAACCCCCCAATGGAAATCTTGTAAGTTGTATTCCCTGCTGTATTTCAAGCTACCTAGCATGTCATAAACACTTACTAATGAATGAATAAATGAGTGAATGTTTGTTTGTTTCTCCTGGAGCCTGGTTACATTCTTTACTAGCTCCTTTGTAGAGAGCCAATGAGCATGATCATCCACTGATCATGCGGTGTCGGCAAAAACTAAGCCTGGGAAACATTCCTTGCCAAAAAATGAGGAGACGTGAACAGCCTTAATACTCAGCTCTGAAGCCAACAGCTATCAGACGTTCCAGTACAATGGGTTTTTTGGGTACAGCAGGATAGCCGCAAGATGTTCCTAACACTGTAAATTTTTAGCACATAAAGAAGCCTCTTGATGATTCACAGGCCTTGAACGATTTGCAAAACTTGTGTAAACTTCCTGATTGTGAGACCCCCATATAATAAACATGGGGAGCTAGTTCTGGGTCACTGTTCCTCCATCAGAGGGTAGGGTCCCACCTGGCCCCAGTTTTGCTTGAAATTGTCTCTGTTTTCCTTTGTCTCTATGTTTTCTTAATCTCCCACCACCCCTCCTGGAGATCTTTTGTTGTTGCTGCACAGGTCACAGCACTCCTGAAGAATCTTCTGGAATTATTGAAAACTTACAACAACAAAAAATCAGGATCTCTCTGATGAATACTTTCAGAAGAGAAGACAGTAAGTCACCTAAGCCCATGAAAAGGTGTTAGTGAATGAGTGGCTATGTCCTTGCATCTCATTGATCACACACTGCAACTGAATTTCTGCAACCTGCTACCCCATGGTTTTCCTTCACAGATCATCCCTCAATCAATGTGCAGTTGGGTCATCTACCAGCTGGACTCGGTAGATGTCCAGTTTCATTCTACCATTCATCTACCAGTTTCATTCTAGAAACTCACCCAGTGCCTTTTCTTCTGAGTGTGTTTAAGTACATCGATGGTATAATGCAGAGGAATTAATGCACTAAGGAAACATGTTACAGAAATTTCATCTATTTGGTTGCATTCCAACAAGCATGGATTTTAAAGGGTATGTTATAGCCTTGAGCATCTCACACAGTCTAATTATTAACAGGCTTCCATCCTGGTCTTCATGGTGCCGTAAATACCTGCCTCTCCCCTAGGCATACCAACTGAATTCTGAACAAGAGATAGATCCCAGCCTAGCCCAAACACACTAATTGACTAACAGATTCCAATCAAACGCTCCTATACAACATCTCCCCCACAGGCAACTCTGTGAACTGGCACACCCAAGCCTGACAGCAGCTTCTAGAACACCCATTCAGAAACTAGGGTAGGTAGTCAGATATTCGTCTTTTTTTGATAAATAAACTTCAGATTATTTATGAAATATTATGAAAAGTCTAGATATGAAAAGTCTCACATAAGATGACAAATGGGCTAATCAGTGAGATATGTCCACACTTCCTACATTGCTGGAGCATATTTCACAAGTGACCTCACAAATTCATGCTGCAGTGGCCTTTAATTTGGAATTACTCCATTCTCTAGGGTTCCTCCTTTTCCTTGGGATGGGATTACTCATGAGATGACTCACTCCAGGGACAACAGTGGTCCTCCTAGCTGATGCCCTTGTTCTCTAATTTCTCAAAAACATTGACCTCTATTTTATCTTTAACTTACTAAGAAAACTTACAACAAACTTACAAATTGTACGATTTTGTCCCTAATATGCTCTACCACAGTCCTGGGTCCTGAAGCCATAAAGATATGCCTGCTTCATAGACATGCCTTTCTATGTCCAAAAGACAAAAGACATGGTGAAAATTAAAAACAACTATCATTCTGTGCATTGAAAAAGGCTCATTAAGGGCCACGTATATCTGCCCCTTAGCCCAGCAGCAATAACATTACGCCCCTTGGGCTTGACTTAGCTTATTGAAAATATGAAATCTTACACCAGAATATGCCAAAGGCAACTCGAATTCTTTTCTCTTCATTGTTTAACTCCTGCCTGTTCTTTTCCCACACATATCTCCATTAGCTTTGGCCATGAAATAAACCACCCCATGAGTCAGCTTTTCTGTCACTGGGACAAAAATACCTGAAAAGACGGACTTAGAGGACTAAAGATTTATTTTAGTTCACAAACACAGAGGTTTCAGTCTGGCTCCATTGCTTTGGGCTCAAGATGAAGAAAGGGCATGGTGGAGGAAAGCTGTTCTGTTCATGGCAGCTGGAAAGCAGAGGGAGGGAGAAAGCAGAAGGAGCCAAGGACAAGATATAGTCCCCAAGGGCATGCTCCCATGATCTATTTCCCCCAACCACGCCTCTCCTGTCTACAGCTTCTGTAACCTCCCAATACTTCATTTGAATATTAATCCATCAACTGAATGAGGTTTCATCCCTCATGATCCAATCGCTCCCCAAAAGCCTCTACCTCTGGACATTGCTACACTGGGGACCAAGTCAATAGCTTTTATATCCAAACCATAGCACACTCCCAACTTGACCGCATAAAATAATAGCCATTCAGGTCATGATTCTGCAGGTCAACAAACTGAACTGGCTCAACTGGGCAGTGCTGGCCTGGGCTCAGATGATCTCAGCTGGGCTCACTGATGTGTCTGAAGTCAGTGCCTCAACTTCTGGGTGTTAGCTGGCCACCAGTCCAGGCACTAGGGGCAATGGACCTTAGTGTGCCCGAGGCTAGCCATGTCTTGGTCATATGAGGGTCCAGGGTTTCAAAAGCAATAGGGTTTCATTGTGCAGGCACTTTTTAAGTCTGTGACTGTTTCATGTCTGGGCCTTTCCTGTAGAAAGTCACAAGTCCAGCTCCAGAGTTGAGACTCGCTTTTCAAAAGAAAAGTGACAAGATCTCATTACAAGGGCTTGAATATAGAGAAGGAAAGAAATGGTGACCATTTTTGTTTGTTTGTTTTGCAAGTTGCCATCAGGAAGGGATTGTAAGATGGGAAAGTGCTCATGTAAGGAGAATATTAAGGGTGGTAGTAATCATCAAATCGTCTAATCACATCTGATTTCCTCAGTAGATAATGACTTAGGGAATCTGATGCATTCCTTTAGTTATTCAATACATAGATTGAGCACCTACTTTGAGCACTGTTCTATGCACTGGTGATATAGCAGATAGACAATGTCCATGCTGTTAAGCTTACAATCCACTAGGACAAATGGGCAATAAATATGTAACATATCTGAGTAGTAAGTGCTCTAAAGAAAACTAAAATTGCTCAAAGGTGTCTAGAGTAACAGAAGTCAGATATTATTTTATTTAGGATGGTCAGGGAAGGTCTTGCTGATGTTATCTTGAAGGAGTAAAGTGGGGGGTTAATCCACGGGAAGGCTCAAGCACAGCATTCCAGGCAGAGGAGAGGATAAATGTGAAGCCTTAGACAGGTTCATCTCCAGGTTCAGCAAAGAAGCAAATGTCAGAGGCATGGAGAGAGGAAAAGAGAGCTAGAAGATGTGAGATAAATGTCAGTGAACCAAATCTTATTGGGAGTGTAAGCCACAGTAGGAAGTTATTCCATGTGAGAAAGAAACCTTGGCTGGTTCAGAACGGTGGTGTGGCAGAAGTTTTAAAAGCATAACCCTACTTTCTTTGGGCATAATACACTCCAGGGAGATAGGGAGAGAAGCAGGAAACCATGTGGGGAGCTCCTGTGTTTCTGTTCGCTGAGTTCCCAGGCTTCATGAATCTCAGCTATTGAACGTATTGTTCAGTCTTGGTTTTGATCCCCTGTATCACCTGTAGTTGAATTTGGCAAGAAGATGGTCAAGGGTGAGAAACACTTTGAGAGTTTGCTCATCAGAGGTCTATGAACTCCTTTTTGCCCACCAGGAGAACCCAGGGAGGAAAAATGGAAAGCAAAGACAAGAATCCATGTAGGATCTTTGCCATATAGCCCTTACACCCATCTCTTTCCCTTGCTGAGTGGACTATGGGAAGTGTGGTAGGCGAGGAATGGTACCAGTAAGAGGAAAAAGTAGGACTGAAAAGATACCCCCCGTGTCAACAGAAGCCAGAGCAAGGCAGAGGGAACAGCGCAGTTGGCATCTAAGGGCAGAGCCAGATCTAACCTTTCAAGGAGCAGGTGCTCGGATGAACAAGACAACAGTGGACAGAAGAAATCACTGGACTGGGCGGCAGAAATTTGTCTCTGTAGTCTCCCTCTGTTTGGGAACTGAATTTCACCAAAAGACATATTTAAGGAACAAAACATGTCTACTTCTCCAAAGTTCACACCTTCCTTCCCTCTCCTTCCATCTGCCCCCACATTCCAAGGCTCTCTAAGCCTCTTTACCTAGAGGCTAAAATCAAGTGGAAGCCAGTGAGGAACTGAGGAATTTCCACTGCTTGTCAGTTGGATTCAAGCAAAAGGCTCTCTGTCTGTCTTCCCAGACACCCCACTCTCTACAAGGCCAATTCCGTTTCTTTTTCTCCCCCACTGTCAGCATTTGTAACAAAGGGAACCTTGAAGCCAGTTGCAATTTCCAAATGGATGAGAAACGTTACTAACAGGAGGACCAATAAGGGACCAAAAGTACCAAACCCTTCTTTTCTACCCCCACCCCATGTGTGATATACACAGCTGCAACTCAGATAACATTCCCGAAGGCCTGGGTGATAAGACCATCCCCAGGTATGGTGCCATTGGGAGTGGTGGAAACCTCAAGAGGTATGACCCACCTGGAGATTTCATATCACCGGGTGTGCCCTTAAAGGGAATTGTGAGATTTGGTCTCTTCCATTTTTGCTGTCTGGCTGTGAGGTGAACAACTTCCTCTGTCATGCATTTCCGCCATAATGTGCTAGGCACCCACAGATCAAAAGCAAGAGGACCAATCAGACAGGACTGAAATCTTCAAAACTATGAGCCAAAATAAGCCATATATATATATTTTGGTGGGGGGGTGTAGATGGACACAACACAATGCCTTTTATTTTTATGTGGTGCTGAGGATCAAACCTGGGTCCCACTCGTGCTAGGCAAGCGCTCTTCTGCTGAGCCACAATTGCAGCCCCATAAGCCTTCTTTCTTAATAAGTTAATTTAACTCAGGTATTTATGATAGTTACAGAAAGCTAACACACACATCCTTATCCCTAGGCAGGGGTGGATAGTTCAGATTTCAAAGGACAGGACTAAGTTTTTACAAGAGGCAGTAGAACATACAGCCATACCTCAATATCCTTGGGGGATTGGTCCCAAGACCCTCATGTGTACCAAAATCTGCAGATGCTGAAGTTCCTTACGTAAAACGGTGTAGTATTTGCACGTAATTTATGCATATCCTCCTGTACTCTAAATTATCATTAGATTACTTTTAACATCTAATACAATATATTTACTACATAAATATTTGCTATGCTTTATTGTGTTTGGAATGATGAAAAGAAAAAAGTCTATAATGCTCAATATAGTTGTAAATTTTTTTGCTAAATATTTTCATTCCATGGTTGGTTAAATGTACCCAAGGATATGGAGGCCAACTGTACCCATGGTCATTAATGTGGTCCTAAGTGTCTGGGAGACTTGACCCCTGCCTATATCACTTAGCAGTACAGCCTTGGGCAAATTATTTATCATCACTAAGTATTACACTCCTAAAATGATAATACTAATACTTAAAGAGTGTTTGTATGGATTAAATGAGAAATCACATACAAAGTGGTTTGGGCACCGTGTTCAACATATTGTAAGAAGTGGGAGATGTGCAATTATCATTAACATTATTTTATTAAGGAGGGAGGCTGGCATCTTGCTGCTTCTGTACAGAATGCCAAGAAACGGGTAGTTGCACTGCCTCCGAATACTGACTGGCAGAAGCAAGCCGTGTCAGAGTGAGTTTGCTGGCAGGGGGTTTAGCGAGGACAGTTGGTCGTCTTACTAAATTCATTTAAAAATAATATAAAAGTACATTTGGTGATGTGATGGCAAATATGATCTCAAGAGCCAGAACCTTTCTCTGGCTGCTCTGCAAACACCCACTAGCCAGGAATAGGTGGGGTGGCAGGTGGCAGAAGGAGGGCCTCCCCAGGCACCCTCAGCAGCACAGAGTGGTAACCAAGGCCTCTAATCCTCTCCCCTTCTAGCCCCCGCTGAGTCTCTCCAGGTGGGCAGAAATGCCAAATGTTCATTAAAGCAAATGTTCAAAGACCCTTTCACAGCTTACCAAATGATCCTCCAGGATGTAGTTCTGATAGTCAAATTAGAGAGTATGAAGCTTGAGAGAGCAACCTAGAAGGCCATCGGGGCAGAGAATTAGAGAAATAAAAGTCATGACACTGAGCTCAGGGACCTTTTCCTTCCCAGGCCTCCTTTACCATGATTCATGCAGTTGAAGAGAATTCTAAGTAGACATCCAGCTGTCTGCCGTCCCGGCCCACACTGCCATCAAGGTACTGGGTGGCCGAGGGCCTTCTGTTCTCTCATCTTTAAAAGTGAAAACATCAGGCTAGGGTTAGAGCCCAGTGGTAGAGCACTGACGTAGAGCACTGGTTCAATCCTCAGCTCTGCAAAATAAATAAATAACAAAGAGAAAACATTTTCTTGGTTAATGTAGGTCAATGTTTCTCAAGTTAGACTTTCCACCACCTACTGCAGAATCATGGTTTTACAATGCCCAATGTGGGACTCACACAGACCACTAGAGTCCAAGAAGATGATGGACACACGACACCTATGTTTGTAAGGGCCTCTCTTCTACAGGCAAGTTGGAACCATTAGCTTAGGATGTTCCCAAGACACAGAACTGCAGGTTCTAACTAGCAATGCAACTTTTTTGGAGAAAAGTATTGACAATATTTGTTTCTCCTTTCAGGGTAATTGCAATCTAAAGGAGGCACCTCCAAGTGAGCATAATAATGAACTTAGCTAACATCAAAGAATCCTTAGTCAGCAACGTTACTATTCCCCTGCAGTTCTCTCCCAGCCAGGACCTTCCCTGAGCGACACCTCTGACCCACAAAAGTTGGGTAGCTCTGGCAGCCACTGGTACTACACAGCTCAAGTCCAGCTCTTAATGAATTCTACACACACACACACACACACCCCTGAGGTTCATGGAAGCATTGTCCTGTGTATGTTCCTTTCTTGTATCACTTTACTCATTATGAAAACAATCCTCAGAGGTGGATACTACTTTGTCCCCATTTTAACCACAACACAACACTGAAGCACAGTCGGATCCAATAAATGGTCCACAATCACCCAGCTAATAAGAGGAGAGGGGTCTGGATTTGAGCCCAGGTAATAAGATGCCAGAGTGGTGCTTTTATGTCCCCATGTCTAACTTAACTTCCAGTAGTAGAATTTTAGGTCTCAGTTTTAAGGAAAGGTTTTAACAGGTCACAAATCCCTACACAACACCTGTGATATAAGGAGAGTTAAATTCACAGGTGTCAACCATTCTTTCTGACCTTTAAAGGTATTTAAACAACACTGGGTGCTTCCCATTGCCCAGGCTAAGGGACCTTTATGGAGGGAGAACAGTCTAGAAAAGTTCAGAAGTGTTTTCAGTTGTCACACTGACTGGGGACCCGGCAAAGGAATGTCAAACTCAAGGCTGCTAAAGGGTCTGCAGCTCTTGAGACGGGTCCATATTGAGGAAAACTGATGGTGCTGTCATGGCAGGTGACAGAGACAGTGCTCATACTTCTGACAGTGCTGTCCCCAGACGGGGAGGACGACTGGGCATCTGGAGCCTTGCTGGACTCTTTCCATCAAGAACTGTGTTGGAGAACTTTGGGATTTCAGACAAGCTTCTCTCTATCAAAGGGGGAAAAAAAAAAGACAAAGCCCAATGGCGATTGGGTGTCAGCCCATTGTCTACCCCAACTACGTTGAATGTGTTTTTGTCAATTCTATAGAGAATTCAGGACAAAGGGCAGTTTGTCTGCAATTGTGAAAACTGATCTATGTGGATAACGGATCATGAAAGATTGTAATAGCATAAACAAAAGCAGGATCGAAATATGCTCCTGCAATGAGTCTTCACCCAGTAATGGTCTTATTAATCACCACTATCATTATAGTTACCCTCCTCAGCATCGGCACCATCAATTCAGCAACTGTTTCTCTTGGTGACATCTCCTTACTACAGCATGGTATTAATTGTATCCAAGCTGATTTTCTGCTCCTGCTACTAAACAGCTGTGTGGAAGTAAATATCCCTCAGCAAAACACCAGCTCAGTCTGCTAGGACTCAGGAAATTGATCCAGATGTGAACAGCTGGCTCAGGGGGCAGATGCCGAATAGAACAGCCCGGTGTCTTGATAAACCCAATAATCAGTGTCCAGTTTTAGAGATTCCGAGATCTCCTTTCAAATACGATAAGCCATCCAAGAGTTAACAGCTTGGGTTTTGCTTTTTGTTAGTTTAATCTAGGTCAGAAACATCCATCCTGAGGAACCTTTGTCTCATTTTTTTCTTAAAAAAAAAAAAAGGAATACAGCCACCACCAAGAGAATAACCACATGGATTCCCTAAACATCTGATTAAAAACTATAACTATCCCAAATTTCTATTGTGGTTATTAGGGAACAAAGCTGTCTCAGCATTTTGATTTTATTTTAAAGTACATTTCAAAGCACTTTAGTTTGTGACTTCCGCAAATTAGAGCTCTCACAGTTTTTTCCCTAGACAGACCGAGGCAATTACATTCCAAAACCACAGCTATTTCTGTCCCTCCCTTTAGTCTCCAACTGGCTGGCGAAGGTGCCAGAAGACCTGTTGATCTGTATCTCTCTGGTTGCTTTTTATCAGTCCACCCGCCTCTGGGCATCACACACTGTTTATTTTAGCTGATTTTGTTTTAAAGATCTAGCACTGAGTTAGGATTCAGGGCACCTGTTCATCTATGAAAAATGAGAATACTGTATGATCTTTCCACGGTTCCCCCATGAGCAGCATCCAGGCAAAGACCTGGAAGATCAGGCCGAGACCACGGAGCTGAGAGCAAGGACACAAGCCTCCCCAAGAACTCCAAGTTGTGTGGGGAGGTAAAAATTCAGACATGATCCGTGGCACACCCCAGAAGCCCTAATAAACCTTCACTAAGAAAGGTCCTAGGTAGGGCAGCAATGATGGGCTTCCTAGACTTTACCTATGAATGCAGTTTCCTTCAATAGACACAATAATGAAAAGCTGCAGTCCATCTAAATATCAACACTATAAGATGAACTAAGTGAATTATGGTAAGTGTCTAAAATGAACTCTAATGTAGTTATTAAGGTTTTCAAAGATTTCATTATGCCACTGTAGAAATTTCAAACGAGGGTTTAACAATATATTTTTAAATGTTCAATCTAAATTTCTTCAAAATATGGTACATCTACGACCTATAGGTAATTATCCTGCATATGTGTTTATAAAACATGCACATGTGAATAGAGGCAGGGATATTAAGAGAAAAAGTGAGAGAGAAACAAAAAAATCAGAAATTGCTTATCACTTGATGGGTTTTGTATGACTTATATTCTTTTTTTTGATTTATATTTTCCAATATTTGTGGTTTATAATCAAGAAAAATAAATATTATACTAAAAACTAGTTCATGTGTAAAACTATTAAAATTATATTTTAAAATAGTTGTATGATGTGAAAAAATGCCTACATTAAAAAAATCAGGAGCTGGTACGGTGGCACAGGCTTGTCCAGGAGGCTGAGGCAGCAGGATCACAAGTTTGAGGCCAGCCTCTGCAATTTAAGAAAACCATATCCCCAATTTTTTTTTTTTAAGGGGAAGGGTGGCTAGGGATGTAGCTCTGTGGTAGAGTACTTACCTAGCATACAAGAGGCACTGAGATGGAGGCCCAGTACCATAGGGGAAAAAAAAAATCAGGATAAATTCTTATAATTGCAACTCGTCCAAATGTTAAAGATGAAAAAGGATAAATATATTCAAATATGAACACTGGTTATTTCTGATGGACAGGATTGGAATGATTTTAACTGTTTTCCTTAAATGTTTTTAAATTAGGGAGAAAATGACACAATAGTCGTTTTTTAAGAATTAAAAAAAATAAGAACGCTCATATTGGCAAAAATGAGCATTATTTTTAAATGTTGAATGTTTTAATATTTTAATTTTTTAAAAACTCTATGTGCCTGTTTATATGAATTTTCTTCTCATAGAGGTAATGCGTATATTCCAATATGTGAAGTGGGAAAAGATTCTCCTTACTCTGAACAAGCACCATGCAGACCCCCATCCTGCCAGCCTACATCTGGAGCCCCAAAATGGACAGGAATCTGTCTCCACCAGGAAAGAGGTGGGCTAGTCTTGCTCTCTTTTTGCCTTCTGGGACAGGCTAGTTGAGAGTGTCAAATAAGAAGTGGCTTACTCAGAAGTTTTCTTCTCAAGATCAACTATTTCAAAGATATTATATGTTTATAATAGCTTCTTATTATGTCCTTATGCCAGTAGAGTGGAAAATCAAGCTGTGATTAATCAAGCATATGATTCCAAATGAAACAAACATCACTTCTTGGCTTTGAGAAGTGTTGCAGAGTGGAACGGTCACTTTAAAAGAAATAGATTTCTAAAAAAAAAATAATTGAATCCTGAGGACATGTGAATCATTTCCCACACATTGTACAATGTAGTTCTTCCAATTTATAACCCGTGACACATACACACATTTGTACCTAAATGGCAAATTTTAAGCTAATAGGCATAACATATTAATCTTTATCAAATACATATTTTCGAAGGGAGAGGAAGAATCACAGATTATTAAAATTATATTTTAACTTTTGATAAGCATTTGTGAGCATCTTTTTCTCCATACATGACATAGAAAGAAAGAAAGGGAGAAAGGAAAAAAGATGGGGGTCGGTCTTTGGGTTTTTCTCCCCTGGAACAAAGGATTTGGACTCCCCTCTCCGTCTCCTAACTCCAGCTCTTGATGACTCCCTGTCTTACTGAGCAAGAAAAAGACTGATCACTCCATATGTGACTGGAGTTGCTGTCTACCCAAAGCATATGTGTTTAATCAACTTTAATACCCCTGCAGGCCAGAGGCAGTGAAATACTCGGGACTGGGAATAATCATCATTTCCATTACATTAGCAAGGTTTGCGGGTAGGCCAGAGGGGCGGAGTATCCACCCTCACTCTGCTGAGAGATGGCTGGCAGCTTTGGGGGAGAGCCGTCAGTAACTAAAATGCACACACCAAAACCTCTCTTGCTCTCTCAGCTGCCCCCTTCCCTAAATTCCCTCCCTAACCCTGAGATTATGACATTTACAGAGAGTAATGAAAAAAAAAAGTGACTGATTTTTCTGATTTTCCTCAAGGTGTCCTTAATATTCCTCCTCATTAGGTGAAGTGAGGGGGGAAAACATCTGTTGATTTTACAAACCAGTGAAAAATAAATGGGCTCACAGGCAGTCCAGATCTAGAAATTTCAGGAAGTGTCATTAAGCTCCATCACCCCTCATAATAGGAGTGCAGGGGTCCCTGGCCTCACAAAGTTCTCTCTTTATGGGAAAAAATTGGAGGGATG